ACTTATTATTATACATCTTTTACTTCAAATGGTACATCACGGGAATGCCAAAATGCAAAATGTTTAAAACAGGATCAGCAAACTTCTTTGTGTGGAGTCCGGTCAAACCCTGGTGGCAGCCATGTTTGTTTGTTTTTATTGGTGTATATTACTTATACAAAATATTTGGAATCAGAAATAACAATAACAATTAGTATTATTAGTATTATTATTAGTATTATTATTAGTATTATTATTAGTAGTAGTAGTATTATTGTTATTATTATTATTATTAGAGGACGCTTACGCGCGTAATCATTCCATATTTGGAATTCGCATTTCTTAATATGGTAGGATGAAAATACCCCATAAAATACCGCAAAATTACGGCACGCTGTAACTTATGGCGTTACGGTGACAGATGTATAATAATAGTAGATTTGACACTATAGAAGAAGATATGTCACAACTACTGTGATTGTGATGAATCGATTATATTAATTATATTATAGGTTGACCAGGAAATTGATCTAGTCAAGAAGGAAATTGAACGTCGCAAGAAATTTGGTCGCTACGCAACAATGAGTGGATGTGGCATATGGTGCTTTGGTCGCCATTTTGGATGTACTTGTTGCGATAAAGGTAACTCGTACGAAGTGGACTGTGAACAGACAGATAAGGAATTGAGGGGATATTTCAACCCAGCACTAGATGTGTCTACAACCAACATTCCCGACGATGTACAGACAGATTCGGTGCCTTCAACATCACAAATAACCCTACCACTGACAGACAAATTGATACATGGAGAAGAGTCCACTAATGATGTCACCAAGACAAAAGACGATACATCAGAACATGCAAGAACTGTTGATAACTCAACAGAGAAGGCAGATATTTAAAGGGAGAAATTTTGGAATAGTAACTAAACATTTTTTTAATTTATTTATCAGTTTATGTACTTAATTGATACTTTTGAAAATAATGTTAGCTTTAGTTATATTCTTATGGAGTGAATTTCCTATGGGCATATAAGCCACTTATCGACTTATTTTAGCTATATTCACTAATTATCACTATTTATTCCTTTGTTTCCCTGTCACCTCATTTTAATTGTAAAGCAGTACGGTACATACGTGTATTATGCTAAACATTTTCTCTATAAATATATGTTTTGTCATAATCTTTTAACTCAAACAGAGTGATATATATATATTCTATATCAACAACAATAGCACCATGTTCTTATTCCATTTTCGGTAACGTGAGTCATCGTTCTGCCTGCACGTGTTCCTCTAAATCTATATTATAATTCATTCATATTCTATGTGTAATTGCTACAAATAATTGTACATAATCGTGAATCTTTTTTAGCTATTCTAGCTACAACAATATTGTAAATCAGAATAAGCGTTAGTCAAGGTGTAACGTCTGGAGACATAGTTCTTCTTCAATGTTGAAAACGTTGGAGTACAAACCCATATCATCAACCACGGCAGGTAGAGCCTCTAACAATTGAACGATTGAGATTCCCAATGGAGATTCTGAAAGAATACATACATTAGAATGATTATTATAATGCATTGAATTATTCATACATCTTTTGCATTTATGTAAATTACCACACGTTCAGCGTGATGCCATGACAATTGCTGAATCTTTCAATTTTAAAGGGTTTTGTTGTATCCGAAACACTCACTCGCTGTCGATTTACAGATATACACCGTTTTGATATTGCACTCTGGCTAAGTCGAATGAATTCATGCCTGACAATACATGTATTCTGCAATTAATGTATTTGTTTTTTAAGCTCTCAAGGTAGGTGTTATTGGCACTGATCCCACCACGTAAGTCATGGTTCAAACCTAGGTTACCCAATTTGTTCATCAGTTTGGGAAAACCTCTCATTCCCTTGTAAATTTCGACACTTAACCAAGCTATTTAGGTTCAGTAATGCATAAATATTAATTAATCATCATCATATAAAAAACAAGTGCATAAACTAAAAGTGTGGGTATGAGTATTACGCATAAAACTGTGAGGGTTCACTAATCTACATAGAGACAAAAGACCACGTCATGTGGTATAAATGCATTGATACATTACCCTCACCAATTGTCTTATATTTTAAATTCTACTGTTCAACTCATAGATGAAGTTGTTTTGTTTCCCATTCAAGTTCAAAATTTCTTTTTTAGGATTTTGTATACCTGATATCCCATTATAAATGGAAGAGCAAGTTGATTGGTACTCAGCTCATTAATAATCCAACAAATCATGAACGATGGCAGAACACAGTGAAGCGAAGTGCCTGAGTACAGATAACATTATGCTTTTCAATCTTGGCCTTCACACTTACTGCCGTATATGATCAAGGATATTACAAATGACGAAGTGAAATGATTCGATAATAACTTCTTCATTCTTCTGTTACGAGTTTCTCTTCTAAATAAATATTGTTATTTGTAGTTTACACACCAATCTTAATACTTTTACCCACACATCACCAGTGTCAATCTCATAATCTTTTCAATTATTAATAACATTTTTACCGACGTGAATGAAACGTACTTAGAAATAATTGTCAACCAATAGCATGCAAAACTCTCCATACCATGCATTATTAATAATTTATGAGTCTAAATATATTATCATGATTGAACCATGCTATGTTTGTGATATATATGACTTTACAAGAATAAAGTATACTAATATATAAATGAAATAATCTCAGTATTTATCTGTCTTGTGATACCATAAGAAACCTATACGGGAAATAGTTACGCAGTAGAATTGAATCATACCATCAACAAAAATAGACACACATCATTATAGGAAACTCTGTGTGATTTGGTAACATCGGCATGGTAATTACATTAATCAGTGACAGGTGTTCTGCATATAACACAAAGTGAAAATGTAACTTTAAATTGTTGACTACTAGCAGTAAATAGAAAGTGGGAAGCAACAAAAACGACGAGACCAGAACCAGAGGATCGTGAAACTGTTGGTCAAGTGAACTGTTCCTTCCCCAGTATAACCACAGTATCCTTTATCAGATAACTGGAACTTACCAGAACAACAGGGTCATGTGAATAATAATTAAGTTCAAAAATGTTAACTGTCACTTAGCCTGTCACGTAAACAGGAGTTAACCCGCGATCTAGACTGTCGAAATGCCTGCAGTATTTCTTTCAAACGCCTTCAAATTAGGCCCGAGGACTGTCAACAGTCTATCCAAGATATGCAATATTATTTTGGCGGCAAATATTCAGCAGTGACTGCCAACTTTGACTGCAGTGCTGTATAGCTGTTAAGCATATTGTATGCCCTTCCAAGAAACGCTTTCGGATTTGCATTATTATTTTTCTTTCGGGCAGCTTTTACAATTTTGAACAACACGTTTTCAACATAGCAGCCAATTGTTTCTACTTTGATCTTCCATTTAACTTTGTCGGAAAATTGAGCTTGATTACAATTTAGGATTCTGATTGAGATTTAGCCAGCAATGATATTGTATTAATTTCAACCAATCAACTCGTTTATCTTTTCACCAATCATGTCCAAGGCCTTATTCATTGTAACCATTCATGAAAAAGGCCAATATTTACTTTGAGTATATAAATAGGAGACGAAACGTCTTTTTTTCAGTTTTGTTCGTGCATAGTTCCTTCAAAGTTCGTTCAATAAAGTCGTCTATTGCAGTCCATACGCGGTTTATTCTTCCATTCCTGAACTTGAACCTACTCTTCTTAACAATTCCCACAAACTTGTCGATATGCTAATATTTGTTCATCGACTTTCCAGCCAACGTTTATTAAATAGTAGTTGGGTGGAAGATCGCTAAGTCAAATTTTCTGACAAGTAGTTAAAATTTGGTTGGGAAGAAATAACAATTGGTTGTTTATTTAAAACAAAACTTGGGAGAATAGTTATAACGTATTCAAAAACAAGGTAAAAGTTGGCTGAAAGTATAGAAAAGGTTGATGGCACGTCAACATTCTTGAATGGAAAATCCTGAAGGGGCATGGAAAATCAAGCAAATTTCTGGAAAATCAAAAAGGTTTGTGGGAAAGTTGCATGTAAATTAAAAAAAAATCGCTTTATAGGTTGGGTTGGATAGAAAATAAGGCATAAAGTTCGAATAGAAAATCTTTAAATGGTTAAAAGTCAGATAGATTTTATGAAAAACAAAAGAATGGCTGGAAACGTTGGATGGAAAGTCGAAACAGTATGCTAAAGAGTTATGAAAGTGACCTAAATGCAAAACTGTGTTATGTGAAGCAAGCAATTCAGTCCCTTCAGTCCATGTATAATGATAGCCACAGTCTAGTAGGAGCTAGCCTAGAAAGGCAGATACCAAGCTTTCAATGCTATTAATAGGAATGGTAACTGGAATCTGACTAATGAACATGGAGACTTTCTATGTACTAATGGGTACAAGAAAATACACAGTCAGATATCATAATCCAGGACAGTCAAAATGATTGCCGAACTTTACTCTCCACGGCATGAATAATGAATTATGTAATTTTGGCAGTCAAGTACAATTGATTACGAGGACGTAGATGTTATGTGGCATTCATATTTAGTGAACACACAACATAATTCTTGCAAGGTTAATACGACATATCACTGAAAGTCCATAAAAAATCTAAACAAAGAACACTGGATATTTATATAATATGATACATTCATAGTTTGGCAAGACAGATCAATGTGTGTGTTAGGGATTTTCTGTCACGCCATGTCAGCTACACCCTAATCTGTATATACCAGAACTGTCAGGAGCGAGGTAATAAGAAATACATATGTGGCCAATTGTAGTTCGTTCAATCACACACTATATTGATTGCTCTGAGCTCCTAGTTTGTGCTTCTTCAAGCAACGATTAACGTCAGAGGTCTCAGATTATGCCTGATAGACAATGAATGCTAGCTGCAATGTTAAGTTTACTCTGTGCATCTGTGTGTGATTGGCCTTAAAGTGTGTTTCTGATAGTAAAACGATGCTCTTACTGGACACAAAGCCAAAATTGTATGAAGATGAGGAGGCTGGTTCATTATTATTGGGTAAATAAATAAAAATATTATTATTAGCTAAAACACAATTAATCTTAACCTGCATTCCAATGATAATGGGTACTGTAAAATACTTTATTTTAGCTGGAATTAATTTTTGCTAAAAGTCTTTTTGAAATAGTGGAAGTATTTGATGGATTTTCCAAGCAAAAGTAATTTAAAGTATTTTACAGTATTCAGAGTGCTACAGTGAATTTAAATTCATTCTAACAGCAAAAGTTCAAGCCTTAACTCAAAGCCTCAACACTCACCAAAAAAGAACAATTAATAATATTCTATAAATTAAATGTGAAAATGTGTCAGATGTCTTATACTTGTGAATTGGTTATTAGTTGCATGTTTTGTGCTCTTAGACTTGTAAGGTCATTTAGGTTTAGTGTAATTTTTACTTTAATTACTTGATATAAATTAAAGAACTAATGTTGATAAATATGCCACTGATAGTAATTTATTAATGACCACTCCCACTCACATTTTACAGCATTGTCCATTATGGCTCACAGATGTGATACTATAACACAGTCGTATGCACCCATAACTTAGTGTTTTGACAAATTTTTACCACTAATAAAAGTGCTATCAGGTTTTTACATATTATAGAATTGTTCATTTGCATTTGTTCTTGTATTCAATGCATTAATTAATATTCAAACAAATGGCATTTTTCTGCATATCCATATCATTACTTTGATTCACCATGCTATTCACAATGTAACTGGTTGGTGTTATTCATATTTTGCCATTGGAGGATTTCTACAAATACTAGAAAAAAAAAACTCAAGTACTGTTATACACCAAGGTATTTTCATGTTATCACAACATAGTTATTATGTTGTACTGTTATGTAACATATTCAAACATACTATGTTATTGCTGGTTGATATGAGTGATTTCATGGTCTATTATTATTCATGAACTGAAGGTGATTGGATAACATAGTTTATGATGTCACCAGTTCTGTGAATAAGTGATATCAGGTGATAACACTTTTCATCACATGACCACATAACTCCAAGTGTCAAAACAACAAAGAAATCTTAATTTTACAAAACTAATCTTATGAATCATATGCTAATTTATTTTAATTAGGTGAGAAATCTACAGTTTCAGATGACATGCATTAGCAGTTATGACCCCTGATAATTATCAAAATCACAGATTTAACAGTATTTTTTCAACCAGAAACACAGTGACATTGTTTTACGTTTGCTTACTTTCTCTAGATTGCAAATCCATTGAAATGAATGTTGTTTACAAACTAACAAACAAGTAAACAAACACAAAATATTATATACAAAATATTACTACACTTTGAGGAATATGTATATTTAATGTGGAAATCACTATAGTCATACAGAAGTATTTACAAGTCCAAGAACACACAACAAATAAATGACAACAATTTATATAGTATTAGACCTATATGCGACATCTTCGTCTACACTAATACTACTTATTAAAAACCTGCACCATTTCATTGAAGGGTGGTGGTCGTCACGCCACGTGTGCGTTAGGTATGGGTCTTGTATAAACAAAGATTGTAATATTAAGGAGTACAAACTGAGACGTTACCAAGCTTCAATTAGGTAATTTATTTGGGGATTAAAAGGTATTGAAAGAGTCGTCGGCAGTAATTAGTGCAAGTGGTGCCAAGGACAAAATTCGTACTTATGATTTCATTAGAAAAGAGCATTGGATTGTGGGAAAATCAATGTTCATCAACACAAATGTCACATGTGCTGCGCGATGACCACCGGCCTTTTAAATTGTTGATCTCACTTAACACTGTAAATCTAATTTCCATATTTTTAAGAATTCAAATTTAGTTTCAAAGAAAAGCTTTTTAAAAATCCACCCCAATTTTGTGATTTAAAAATGAACCTGTATCTTCTAAAATGTTCACTATTGTGTTCCATTGACAACTGGATTTTATGAAAAACGATCCATTAGTGCACGAAAAACATTTCCTGGGATCTTCTGGTGTTTGTCAATCAGATCTTGAACTGCATCTTGTACCTTCAATGATTAATTAGGAAATAAAGTTAGAATTATGATTGGAAAAAATAAACACAACAAAGGTTGCAGTTCAGATTTTATCGAGATAATTAAAACAGAGAGTCATTGCAAACTACTTATAACAATATACCTCTGATTACTGTGGAATCTAGAGGCTTAATTCAGTGTTATCCAAAACTGAGCACAGATAGTATTCACCAGGGCACAGTGTTTTGTGTTCTCACCTTTACAGCCAGCTGTTGTGGAGTCAGACTTGGATCATATGGTATGGGATCACCAATAAATGTTCTAGCAATTAAGGAAAGCAATATTAATTGTTATGCATATGTGAGCTCTGCCTGTTTGTATGTCTGTTCACATGTTACACAGTACATGTGTATATAATTGTACTTTTGGTCATCTATGATAGATAATTTATTGTAGAGGACATCCTGCGTGCAGATGCAATGCAAGTTTTGTGATCACTTTTTTTCTATATTCAGACAGCCTTGTCATCACAAAACTTAAAACTACAGAACACTACAAGAAATGTAACAATATTACTGACACAAAAAACAATAAAAAATACGAAACTGTGTGTTGAGGGTATTGGAGGTATATAAAGTAGAAATTATTTTAAAGATTACTTGAATGTGTTAAAAATACAAAACAAAGCATTTCTGTAATTAAAACAAATAATCCCAATTTAGCAATAGAAGATGAAATACACTTCCTTTTAGTATGTCCAAAATGTCAAACCTACCTAAACAATGTTTTTTTTCCAATATTATATTCCCAACAGAAACATCATCAAAGAAATAATTTTTTTTAATGAAAAGAAGCAACAATATACAATATTATCCTATTCATTTTTTTCTTTCATTTTCAAAAAATCAAACATTCTTTTGATTTGTAACATTAACTTTCTTTTCAACTATTCTTATCATATTGCTATTGATAGAAAAATGTGTATTTCTAAGGATGCAAGAGATGATGATTATTATTATACTGTTATGTCCTGTTGCTGTATCCAATTTTAACAAGATTATTCCAGGAACATGATTTTGTTAAACAAGGTCTAAAACCATGACATAGCACACTTCCAATAGGCCATAGTACATCATATGACACTCCCAAATTAGTGCCATATTTCGTTATTCTCATCGATATTGGTCATGTGACCAGATAGTATGTAAATAACCTGTGTATCTCACCTCAGTTTCACTGGGAACCCTCCATAAATTGGACACAAAGGAAGACGACATTTTTCATAAAGATATCTGAAAAAACTTCTGCCGATGGATAGACATCGAAAGGCTTCTCGGCAATTTTGTGTAAATAAAGGAATAATTGGCTGTAAATACAAAAAAACATTCTTTAACTTGACATCAAAGCAAAACTAGTATCTCATTTTTACTATTATATTATTACAATTTTATAAATTACACTCCTTTTGAATGCTGTGCCCAAAAAAACAAATTTTGTGACCAAAAATACTGGATCCTGGTAACTGTGATGTAACTATTTTCGCACAGAATTAAAACACATATTTTTTGTCAGTCACATCATACAAAAACACATGTCAACAATGCTGGGATAACAATGCATAAGAGCATGATTCTCGGTTCAAGTAAAGTTTCAGCCCGTTAATAAGGACACTACATTGACAGAAATGAGAAGCCATCCATGGTTGGATAGCCGGCCAATAGCTGTGTAAATTTGATAACCATCACCACAATAAAAATCTTACCACTTTAGCTTCTATTGCACATTTAGCAAATCCACATCGTTTTCCCCATATGATCTCATAATATTCATCACTAAACTGAGCTTCTCGTACACCACCCGGAGCTAATAGCAATAACTTGTCAGACTTGAGCACTTTGATACATTCTTCAACAGTGCCTGGAGTCACACAGCCTACCTTGAGTAGCAACTTAAAACCTGAAATCAAATCATACAAGGTTATTATGAGAATACAGCATACATAAAGGCAGTACGCATACTAATTGTCGCTATAATAACTCTAAAATATTCACAATTCCAGATTTACCAAGA